GTACCTTTGAAACAATGATAGGCTTCAGCTAGCGTTCTTTGTGCTGAGGAAAGACAGGCTATAATTTATTTTTTTCCCTGGGGCTATGTCTAGGATTTCCAATATAAAGGCATCAAGAGAGTCATCAGCTTTTTCCCAGATCATATGTTGAATTACTGGCAGATTCCAGGAAAGTAACAGTCTTTTGGTTCTGAGTCACATTGTGGTATAATTGAGGTGCCTTACTAGCAGCTAAAGGTCTTATATGTTGACCCTATTCCACCTACACCACCACCCCCAAACCATAAATCTCTAAGTCAGGGCTCTGAAGATGGTTTGTCATTAAATTGTCAATTCTAGCTTAATAGTGCTGACCAAATACTGCCACTTCCATTAACTTTGCCTTTATAAATGCTTCCTATAGGTTTTCACTGGTTGGGCACCTAGGTGGCACAGTGGGTAGAGTGCCTGGCCTGGAGTCAGGAAGACCTGAATTCAAAATCTTGCCTCCGACACTTACTGGCTATGTAACCCAGGGCAAGTCACTTGACCTTGTTTGCCCCAGTTTCCTCCTCTCTAAATTGAGCTAGAGAAGGAAATGGTAAACCACTCCAGTATCTTTGCCAAGAAAACCCCAAATGGGATCACAAAGAGTTGGACGTGACTGAAAAATGACTGAACAATGGTGAAGATGCAAGGAAAGAAGTATGGCAGGGGTACCATCTTCCTTGTGTCCTGGCAGTTAAAATCCTTTCCTTTCCTTCCATTGTTAAATGATCTGGATTATCCCTTCTTCCTCTCAACCGAAAGGTTTCAGGTAAGGGTAGCAAGCTTTTCATCACTTAAAAAAAAAAAGGCTAGCCCTAAGCCAAGTCATTATAAGATAGAATGGAAAGATGATGGAAAAACTTCTGTACTTAGAGTCCAGTGTTAGGGATTCATATTCCAATTCTGCCACCACAGAAGGAAAACTGGCCTTGTTCAAGGACTTGAAGAGGCATTTCACTTTGAAGTAAACATATGGTGAACCCAGTGGGACACGGTCAGCCTTGGCCATTGGTTGAAGCATTAGAAAGTTGTTGGGTTCCAGGGATTTGCACGTGGAAAATGAATGCTGTTGAGAGATTACCAGATTGTAAATTCATCAAGGGACTCTGATGATATCATAAAACGTGAGGGACTGGTGTCATATGGCAGCATCGGAAACCTCTCTCCTGGTCTGATTTAAACCTGGGTAACCTATTCCATACCTGCCCGTTAGTTATTACAGTCATAACACGGCAATGACACAGTCTTCTTTTCTGTTTCTACTGCTGGGCACAGCTGTACCCAGTCATTCTTTCCAGTGTAAATAATGTTTCATGTTTCCACAGGCTGTCGCGAGATCTTTCTGTGCTTATGAAATGAACCCATGTCACCACCCTCATTTGGAAAGATTTAATGTATGGATGAAGCCAGGGAACAACCTAGGAAGGCCAGATATTTTTTTCCCCTCTCCCTAGATACATCTTATGCCTTGTGAACATTTAGATTGGCCTGGGTGGTATGATTTGTAGTATAATGAATTCGAGGTAGAAAAATTGTATAATTTACATCAGGCTGATTTGAGCATTTCTTGTTGGCATTTTTTCTTTCACATTTTATGTAAAGAATAAATGTTCTTTTCACAAGATGACATTTTACAAGCCAGGAATAATTTAGGCAGGAACTCTTTTGACCCTAATGCTCTTAGTATTGAGAACAAGGGGTTTATATAAGCTTCAAGTTAGAGAGATGAGGCAAAACTCTGTAATGGCTTCCTTTTTCCACTCCCAACCTAAGATAAAGAATAGTAGGCATTTGGGGCAGAAAGTCAATGAATAATAACAGTACATTTATCACTTTAAAGGATACAAAACATGTGACTGTCCTATAAAAAAAGATAATAAAATTTGTAGTCTCCACACAAAGATTGTTGTTTACCCATAGGAAGTGGACCTGGTCTACTAAGATGCAAAGGAAGATGAAGCTGATAATAGTGATTAAGATAGAGTGGGAAGAGCCTTGGCTATGGATGGAATCAGAGCCTCTGGGTTCAGTCCTGCTTCCAACACTTATTATTACCTGTGTGACCTTAAGCAAGTCACATTTATTTCCTTGGGGTTCATTCTTCTCATCTGTAAAATGTGGAAGTTGTGCTAGATTATGATTATTTTCACCTAAGTTTTATGTAAGAAGTAGGACTTACATATAAAAGCAGAGTGAAAGAGAATGAATCAAAATGTTTCCCTTTTCTCCCTCTTGTTTGTGTAAGTACATAGGTGGACATTTTCAAAATTTCAAAATTGAAATCTGAAAATAAGTTTTCACATCACTGTAAGCAAGAAAGTATTGATGAAGTTTCCCAAGTAACCCTTTTAAAATAGGCCCAATGACTTTGTCTTCTTGATCCCATTTATAAAAAACAAAGTCAAAAGTATGACATGCTTATGCAGGTTCATGGATGTGAATCTAGAACAAGTAGAAAGAAAAACTTAAGATATACAGGTGCAAACACCATAATACACACATAGAGATATAATAAAAATATGCATACACATATATAGAATATTGTAGTTTTTTCATTTGCAACTGTAGACAATGGAAACTCAAAATCCTTTGTGTCTGTGTGGTCCTTTTTTTTTTTTTTGACTGACTTTTGACATTTTAAATTCCTGGAGTCGGGAGAACCTGTGTTCACATCCAGCCTTAGATCCTTACTAGCTGTGTAACCCTGGGCAACTCACTTAATCCCAATTGCCTCCAAAAACAAAACAAAATAAAAAATTAAAATAATAAGTTTTATCTAGTAAACAGCTGTTTCATTGTACTAGATTTATAAGTAGTGTACAAATAGGGATGTGAAAGAATTCATTCCTTTACTGAAAGGCCTAACTCACATGCAATTGATAATTGATCAGCTGAAAAAAATCTGCTTAATACTAAAAGTTAATGTACTAAACCTACTAACATGAAATATGATAAATATGTCCACATATAAACAGGGGTTCTTAATCCCCTACAGGAAGCCTTCCTCAACCCCTCTTAATTCTAGAGCCTTCCCTCTGTTATTTCCTATTTATCCTGTATGTAGCTTGTTTTGTGTATATTTGTTTGCGTGTTGTTTCCCCCATTAGATTGTGAGCTCCTTGAGGGCAGGGACTGTTTTTTCCCCTCTTTTTGTATCCCCAGGCCTGGCAGAAGGTAGGTACTTAATAAATGTTGATTGATTGACTAATTGATTTTTTTGCATCATGGTCCCCTTTGATAGTCTTCTGAAACCTATAGACCCCTTCTCAGAATAAAGTTTTTAAGTGCATAAAATAAAATATGTAAAACTACAAAGGAAAACAATTATATTGAAATGTTTTTAAAAATAATTTGGTAACTAAGTTCACAGACCTTAGGGTAAGTACAAATGCTTGTATCCCACTTATTAGGGAACTTTTAATACTCTTATTCTGTTAGATAATTTCCTTATCTTTTTTTAACATCCCTGATCTATGTGGTCCACACATACAGAGCATCCTTCCTGTAATGTTAAAAATAATCTTTTGTGATAAAATGTTATTTTAAAAAAGACTAGTAAAAGGAACTACAGGATTTTTGTGATATATTCCCCCAGTACCTTCTTATTCTTCATAGCTTATTTAAAGTGAAATCTGCCTAAATTATTCTGACACTGTTTTAGGTTTCTATTAAGTAGAGAACAGAGAAGGTTCTCTGTGTTTCTCTTTAACTGTCGTTTCAAAGATCAACCAGGATACTATGACAGGTTTGATCTTCTTTTAATTTGAAGGTTAAATTCAACCCCTTCCTTTGCTTTTAAGTAACAAGAATGTTTCCATTGTTTGATATGGGGAGGCTAATTTGTCATTGAAGAATTTGTTACTTCTATTATAACAAATTTGTGTGGCAGTATATACAATATATGCTTTGAAGCTCAGGCTAATTTCTTTTGGTTTGAACCTTCAGTTTTTACCTGGTTTCACAAAATAGGATTTTTTTTTTGGTTTTCAATCACTTTTACTGCCTGTTTTGCTGACTTTCTAATACAAACTAGAGAAATTAGAAGGGCAAATTAGGAAAGAAAGCCCTTCTATTACATTAAACTCTTACATGGTTCCATACTATCAAATTGCATTGAATGACATAACACTGCATTTCAGGCAAACCATCTGCAAGACCCTTGGTGTGGAGGGTCTACTAAGTCTCAAGTAAGCCAACATTTAATGTATTTTAGATCCAATCCTCACCTTCTCACTTCTAGTATAAATTGTGTGCCAAATAGCTCAAGTATGAGAGAGTTTTCTGCTATAGATGCTTCTTCCTGTGACCCTCTTATCTAAGTTTAATATTCAGTCATTTAATGTTGGATCAAATTTTAGCATTATGGTAAAGATATATTGCAGAAAAAAATAATAGTTGACATTTATATAACGCCTTAAAGACAAAGTACTTTATATTATCTCATTAGAGACACCTAGGTGGTGAAGTAGGTAGAGCCTTGGGTCTGGAGTTAGAAAGATCCTGAGTTCAAATCCATCCTCAGACACTCACTAGCTGTATGACCCTGGGCAAATCATTTAACCTTTTTCCTGCTTCAGTTTTCTCAACTGAGAAACATGGGTATTCTTATAGCATCTACTCCCCAGAGTGTGTGAGGATCAATTGAGATAATATTTATAAGGCGCTTAGCACAAGTGCCTGGCACAAAGTGGGCACTTAATAAATGCTTGTTGCCTCTACCACCACCCCTTTCATTTGATCTTCACAATTATCCTGTATTAGTAGGTATCATTCCCATTTTACAGATGAAAACACTATAGCTGAGAGGTTAGTTTTCCATGGTCACAAATCTAATAAATGCTAGAGATAAGATCTGAACTCAGATCTCTTGATTCCCAGTACAGTGTTATTTCTGCTGGATCATCTTGCCTCTCATTTGCAAAATCAGTTAGCATCAAACCTTTCAGTACTCTTAAATTAAAAATATCTCTTACTATGAGGTTGACCCAGGAAATGAAGCTGTATGTCTAATGGAGAAGTCCTCAAATGTTTACCAGTCTTCAGAACACTTCAGAAGGGTAAAAGCTGTCTCAGCCCACCACTCCACTGGCTTCTTGTTTGTAGCTTTAAGAAAAAAATACAAAAGAAGAATGGAGTTGAACATAGGTCATAGAATCAGAGACAGAGAACTAAAAGAGAACTCATCATTGAGGTGATATCTAGTTTTTATTAAATATTCTAAGCAAATTATTAATCCGTGTCAAAAACAAATATATGTTGTCTGGTAAGAAAAAGTTAATGCTATGAAGACACTCTTTTTAGACTACTGGTAGTTCCTATATTATACTTTGAGAACTATTATTTTATTATCCTAGTAGATAAAGGGTTAAATTGGAAAAGAGAGTACCTGTATCCTTTCTATTCTTCCATTTTTCAGCTTGTCGAATAATGAGAATAAAATTGGCATTTTGGAATTCAGTATGAGGTTTTAATAAGTTAAATGTGAATCAGACATTCTTTAGAGCCTCAAAGGAGGCATCCAAACAAACTATTGCTATAGTAATCATTGTATGCAACAAGTCTTTTGCTTTCTTATCTAAATCAACCTAAGACTTGGTCCTACCTTCTCCATTCTTTAGCCAGTGCTTCCACTCTGCGATTCAAAGGGACAGAAGCTATAATTATTTTGTACAAGATTATTAAATTAGGGAGGTGTTCCAGTGACTTTCCAGTAAGACATTTTGATGGTCATAAAGTTTTATTTTTAAATTTCTAATAAGGAAAAAAATTATAAAAGTTATATGGTGGTTGGATATGTAAGCAATCATTCTAAGTAAGATGACTTGAAAATTTTACTATTGACCTTTTCCCCCTTCATTAAGTGGCAGTTTCAAAAAAGTCATGTCACTGAGCCCAGGATGGATTTTAAGTGTTTTATTTCTTCAGAGTGCCTGGTAGATTTATTTTTGCAAAGCTTCATAGAGTTAAAAGCCTAGAGATTCATACTACTTCTGAGTCCCTCCAACTGTTGTCACACATTGCTTCTATAATTCCAGATGATTTCATTCTTACATTAGCTTAATAGTAATATGTTTTAGAACTTAGAGGGGGAAAAAGAATCAAAAAGGGTGCTTTCCTAGAAAAGTATACTTTTTATAGAAACAATGAAAATACAATATCTCTGATTTTTTTAAAAATAAGATTTGTATTGATTGAGATTAGATGGAAAACAATAAAATGTATAAAAATATCATTAGAAAAATTGTATCCTCTCAAAACATGTTACTTATTTTGACAAATCATCAATAAATTGGATCCATTTTCTATGCATTTAAATAAAGGGTTCTTCATTCATAATTTGATTCTGTAGAATTAGCTTTATCATGAAACAAAGGATAGGAAGATGTTGACTGAAATGTTTCTCTTTTTTTATGAAAGTGTGTTCATTCTCTGTATTTGCTGAATCAATCATTAAGGCAAATAGTACCAGGCCTTGTTTCCACCCAAGAGTTGCTAAAGAGTTTCCTTAGAAAGTGTCTCTCTTTTTCTTTCTAAGAAACTCAAGAATGTGTCCCATTAGAATAATGAGAAATGGGGGAAAAAAAACCCTGTAGTTTAGAGCTCTGATATGCTTCTGTGTTTCTTTACCAGTTGTTGAACACTTTGTAGAATCATATATCATGTTAAGAGTTCTGCTAGATGACTTCTTAGCTGACTTCTTCAATAGAGATTCTGCACTGTGATTCCAAGTGTGGAACATACCAAGATGATTCAGGAAAGGATTATTGTTGTGTCATTTCAGTCATGTCTGACTCTTCGTGACCTCATTTGGGGTTTTCTTGGCAAGGATAATGGAGTGGTTTGCCATTTCCTTCTCCAGCTCATTTTATACATGAGGAAACTGAAGCAAACAGGGTTAAGGGATTTGCCCAAGGTCATACAGCCAGTAAGTGTCTGGGGTCAACTTTGAACTCAGGAAGATGAATCTTTCTGACTGCAGGCCTGGTGCTCCCTCCATGGGCAGCACCTAGAAACTGGTGGTTTAACAGTATAGTAAGAATGCTGACCTAGGCTCCATAAAATGGAGGGGGCCTGGGTATAGCGAGAAGTGGAACTTCCTTAGAGGGAAGAAATGAAAAAAATTTAACCCAGACCTGGTGAACTGAGAACTATCTACTATGACAAATAAAGGAAAGTGACTTTTGACATTATTAGGTGGTGGTACTTTCTCTTGTTTTTCAAAAGACCTTCCCTTCCTGGTATGTCTACGAACATCTACGGCACCATCTTTATACTTTTGTACCTTTGTACTCTTAATCCACTAGATGATTTTTCTTCCTAGGCCAGTGATGATTTTCCCATCTATTAGAATATTTATTACTGGTACTGTAGAAACATGCTTGTGAACCCTGCTTATATCCCCCAGAAAGATACATGGTACCTCTTCCTTCTCTCATGCTGTGGTTCATTGGTTAATTGTGCTTAGCGCAGTGCTTGGCACATAGGGGCTTAATAAATGCTTTTTGATTGATTGATGCTGTGACATTTACAAAAGAGAGACGTCATCTCCAATCCCTAATTAATGCAATCTTAGTTTGTTGTTGTTTTTTTAAAGCTAAAGATATGACTCTTTGCTTCCTTATTTCTTAGTACTTCAGAGTCTCTAGCATAGTTATTGAAAAAAGTATAAAAGCCAAACAGGACTTCTCTCCTGTTGTTCTGTTATATATCCATGTACATATATGCATATACATTATCTTTTGTGATTTGGGTCAATCAATAAACATTTTTTAAGCCCATACTATATGCCAGGCACAGTATTAAGCTAGGGATACAAAAAGAGGCAAAAGATCGTTCCTGCCCTCAAGAAGCTTACAATCTAACAGGAAGAAAACATACAAACAAATAGATACAAAGCAAACCAATGCAGGATAGATAGGAAATAATTAACAAAGCAAAGGCACTAGAATTCATGGAGGTTGGGGAGAGGGGTATTTTAATAAACACTACCTAAATGCTAAATTGATTGGAATGGATTCTTCTTAGTTCAAAGAATTTATCTCTAGGATCTGTAGGCAGGTGTGTGCTGAAGTCAGCTCAAACCAGAGCCAATTGTTAAATTTCCAGTATTAGCATTTATATCTCAGAAATCAGTGAATACTACAAATTGGGACTTGATTTATTGCTTTCTCGATTGTCTAGACTGAGGAAAAAGTTGGAGAAAATTCAGATGAAACTTAAAAGTGTATCGTAAGGTACTTTTTTTACCCAGTGAGCCTGTTATTAAACATTTGCCTGCACACCACTTCCTATAGGTAGGAGAAAATATCTTTCTTTTCTCTTTCTTATCTCCCATACACATGCTTTAAAAAAATGGAAATTCAGAAGTATATGTGATAAAACGACTATCCAGGAAGTGGAAGTACCATACAATGGGCCACCATTGTAACTCCCATGGAAATTCAAAGAAGATAGCAACAAAAATTAGCAACTTAGTTTCCGAGAATTACCAACAACTTTTTATTTTATTTCATACTCAGTAGATGATTGACTGTTTTATAGTTTTCCTAATCTTGCCCATTTAGTCTGTAGCTGAGCAGGGAATTCCTGACTATTCACCACATGACTTTGGCTTCCTCATAAACTAAACAACTGAGGCACCCACACCCAATTGAACATGGCATTTATTTTTCCTATTCCTGCATCCTTTGCCATTTTGCTAATGAGCTGGAAAATGGCCAATAACCAGGCAGCTGAAAGTAGAAGAAGCCCAGGTGTAAGAAGGTAAAAGCACTCTCTTGCTGGGTTAAAAGCACTTCTTTTTCCTCACTAATTCACCACAGAGAAACTAAAATCAGTTTTATCTCATCCCTTGCATAATGGGAATATGATTTATGGAAAATTAGTCATTTTAACACTACAATTACAACAGGATTTTTTTCTTCCTTCTTTCCTTCCTTCCTTTGTTTTTCTTTCTTTCTCTCTTTCCTTCTTTCTCACCTGAGGGTGTTTGTTTGGGATTTTACCTGTACAGTTTTAAAGCTACGTTTGGCTTCTCTATGAAATACACTTAGAAAACCTGATCTCAGCATATAGATCCTGAACTGTATAATACACTTGGCAATACATGTTTACCAAATATGAACTCCAGAAAGGGAGAGAGAGAGAGAGAGAGAGAGAGAGAGAGAGAGGGAGAGAGGAAAGAGGAAGAGAAGGAAGAAGAAGACAATGACGGAGGAGGAGAAGAAAGGAGGGAGGGAGTATGTGTGTGTGAGAGAGACAGAGACAGAGAGAGACAGAGGTGTGTGTTAGGACTAAAATTAAGAGTATTGTCATTTGTAATTCCAGACAAATTTAGCTTCCAGAAAAGCAATAAAACATCTAGTTAGAACAAGAGGCTAATGAGGTAAAGGTGGTGGAGATTATATTTCTATAGCAGAGAGTTTCCTTTCCTATGTTCCATGGTTGAAGACCACCTGGCCAGCTAATTTGAAAATACAGGTGACCAAGCATGATGGCGAACATCTGTAATCCCAGCTACCCCAAAGGTTGGGGCTGCCAGATCTCTGGAGCTCCAGAGGTCTGAGCTACAGTGGACTAAGGCCTAGGGGCATCAACTCAAATAGTAAACTGTACTGTAGGCCTCATATTGATTACTTTATTGTATTTTTATTTCTTTTGTTAAATATTTCCCATTTAAATTTTATTTTGGTTCAGACTGCACTTGGCAGTGCTGTGGGCCATGTACATGTTTGACACTTCTGGCCTAAGCCAATAGGATGTCCTTGATAAGTAAGCCTTAATATGATTAGTCCCCCAAAAGGGGAGCTAGGACCAGGTAGTGAGAGAAGGAAGGAAGGAGAGAAACAAGGGAGAGGAAGGAAGGAAAGAGGGAGAGAGAAAGAAAGGAAGGAAGGAAGATGAATGTCATAGTGTCAAAATGGGCATCAGCTGAAAGGATATAAATAATCCAGCAGAAATCTGTCACCAATAATGGGAAAAAAATTCAAAATATATGTCCCATTCCTACCAATTCAACAGCTGTTGATTGTCAAGAAGACAATAAAGAAGTTCACCTTTTTTTAA